AGGTAACCCTAAAATCTTTTAAGGATTAGATACAAGCTCCCAAATACTTTTGACATTTTTGGCCTTTGGAACAGAGTACATTGCTAACAGGCCCAAGGACATTTTGACTTTTAGCCAAGAAACTGGCTAATTTCTTTGGGGTCTTTTTACCCTAACAATAAAAATTTTTTTAAAGACTGTTTTACAATTCTCTTTGTTGCTAGACTGGTGCCATTATGTGTCCCATGGGAAAATCCTGTCCTAGGCAACTGGCCAAGACAGGCCTGACTCATTCACAAATCCATGTGATCCTGAGGGACTCACATGGTGTTGCACAAGTCTGTTTTGTAATTGGCAATAAAAATTTGAGAACCCTTCAGTCCAATAGACCTTGCTTCTGATCTTCCTGAGGCTCTCCAGCATTTAATGAAGAAAGCAGGTGCTACTCATAAGCATCCTGAGAGGAACAGAAAGGCTAAGGATGTTAAATTCCACCTGATCTGATAGCCAACTTCACTGATTGGCTCATTATTCCAAGACTAAAGCAGTCCTCCCACTCAATTGGAAATTTGAGTCATCCACAGTTTCTGCTCCAGTAGCATAAATTTGTCTTGTGTACTCAAAGTTGCTTTAGATTTTTTTTTAACATATATTTTGTGTGGGGGTGGAAGTGGGGTGCACACATGCCATGGGTGTCAGGACAACTTTTGGGAGTTCATTCCACCATGTGGGTTTTGAGAATTGAACTCAGGTTGTCAGGTGTGGCAGCAGGTAGCTTTACCCACTGAATAATGTCTCTGGCCCATAAATATAATTTTTTAGAAAAGCAAATTGTAATAGTTTTCCCCCGATTGTATACTGTTGTCCTTATTTTATAAATGAGACACAACTTCAGAAAAATGCAAGCTACAGCCCCATGACAGTGCAAATAAGTGCCAGAAGCAGGACAAGGATTTAGGTGTCCCACTTCTAAAACAAGGTCGTGCTGATGCTGCACAGCTTGGTCTTAAAGTCAAGTGGGCTCAAGTTATCCTTTCTGCTTCATTCTCCCCAGTAGCTGATACCACAGCTGTCTAGCACTGTGCATGGCTCCAATTCTAGTTTTGCTTTTTGATGTTTTTAATTTTGCATGGGATATGTGCACACATTTGTATGCATGTGGAGACCAGAGAGCACCCTCCGGTATCTTCTCCAATGCTTTCTACCATGTTTTTATAATTTTATTTGTGCATGCCCCAGCACAAACGTGGAGGCCAGAGGACAGCTTTGTGGGTTCCATTCACTCCTACCTGTACTTGGCTTTGGGGACTAGACTCGTTGGTCAGGCTTGCACAGCAGTTGCTTTTTCCCACTGATCTATCTTGCTGGTCCCCACTTTGTTTTTTGAGACAGGGTTTCTCACAGGAACCTGGAGCTATTATATTAGGCTAAGCCCCAGGGATCCACCCATATCTGCCTTCTCAGTCAGCGCTGGAATTACAAGTGTGTGCCACCATACCTTGCTTTTTATGTGAGTGCTAGGGATTGAACTCAGGTCTTTATGCTTGCTCGCTGAGCACTTAGAGACTGGGCCATCTCCCGACTCTCAATTCTAGTATTTTAGATTATAAATAAATGTTTGTTCTAATGAATCAGTTTATCAAACACCTGAATTGCCAATGAGAATTAGTGGAATTCATGCTCATTAGTGTTTGGGTCTGATGTTTCTGTCATTTCAAAATCTTTTGTTTTTTTCTCCTAGCTTTAAAACCCAAATTTGCAGAATCTACAGAAATTTCAGAATTGTCCCATAATTTTGTTATGGTAAATCTGGAGGTAAGACTTGAGAGTTTCTCCCTTTTATCCATGTGATTTTAAGACATTTTAGATTATCAATGGTATAAAGTGATACTGAACAGAACTGGCTACTTTTACTTGCTGTTTGTCTCCTCACTTCTGATACTAAGGTTTGTATGAGATGTGTTGGAAGCCGTCCAGCATCTACTCTGGAGAGGAAATGGGACTGGAGAACTCGAATAAGTCACTGAAGTTTAAGGTCCTTTCCTCCTTTGCTTTTGATCATGCCATGTGTGGTGTCTTCCTATAGCTCTTCTAAAGATATAGTCATATGTAGAGGCTACAACTCTCTGCAAATTCTCATTAGTTGAGCACCTACTAAGTGCATGGCTGTGCTAGGCTTTTATATACTCTTTCTTTTTCCTCATATCTTTTATGTACTTTATACAGAATTCAGGTTTTCAAATCCTGAGTCTCAGAATATCAGATTTTAGGCTTAGATTTTTAAATGATCATTGGTACGGTCCCATTTTACAGAAAGTCCTGAATCAAGTATGTGATTTTTGTCAAAGTCATAGAGCCTGTTAAGTGGGAAGATGCCCTGGCTTAGCTGTGCTCCCTTCTAGGCCATGCTCTTCGAGTTGGAACTGTGTGGGTGTTCTGTGATGATGCTTCTCTCCATGTTTCTGTAAAGATATTGTTTACTTAAACATAGGACCGAGAATCTTCTCAACGTATTAACAGTAACATTGAGATACAAAGGTGATGCCTGTGTAGCTAGTGGATAGCCCAGTGCCAATTATAGTTCAAATAAATGACTCCATTTAGTCCCTAAAATGGGAGCCACACTGTTAAATTATAATATTATTAGTTATATATCACTATTGATTTCCCATGAACACAAGCTCATCACTTTTTTATGGTAAGTTAGGATCCTCATTCAAAGAAGACAAAGTGTTTCCAGTGTGCACTCTCCAACTTCTGAAGTTGTTTTCAAAATCAACAACTCAACAATTCAAAAATAAAGTAAAAAACAGTTCAAAAATCAATAACTGACTATGACATTATGTCTTCTGGGAAGACTTATAATTGTAGTTTAAAATGTCAGTCTTATTCATTCATCAATTAAAGAAATACTTTGGATAAATCAGTGATGTAGGTATTGGAAACAACAGCAAGCAGCAACAAAATTCCCTCATTGAAATGCGTTCTAGTGTAGGAAGACGGACAGAGTGAAGTAGGTCAGATGCTGCTTGAAGCCGTGGTTGAAAGTAAAGAGTGAAAAGGATAACTTGCCATTTAAATGAGATCAAAGGCCAGAGGCAGAAAAGGGCATGAGCCCTGTGGGTGACAGAGTTATATGTGTCCAAGCAGAGGATAAGAACAAGTTCAGAAGCCCTAGTTATGAGCCTGTCTGATTTGTTGAACGACAGTAATGAGCAGGTTAATATGGCTAAAAATGTCTGAACAAGGTAGAGCATTTGAGAGGTTTCAGGGGGTGTGAGGCAGATACACAAAGCCTCCTGGCCTGAGCAAGCCTGGAATCTGCTGAAAGGCTTTGAGGAGAGAATCTTGTATAAGGTTTACATTTAATCTTGACAGGATGAAGAGGAGCCCAAGGATGAAGATTTCAGCCCTGATGGGGGTTATATTCCACGAATCCTTTTCTTGGGTAAGGCAAAATAGCTAGTATAGTGGTCCAGATGAAGATGTGGATAGAAGGCTGGAGAGGTAGCTCAGCAGTTAAGAGCACTGGTTGCTCTTATAGGTTCAGTTCCCAGCACCCACATGGCAACTAACAACCATCCATAACTCCCGTTCCAAGGATCCAGTGCTCTCTTCTGACCTCCACAGCATTGCATGTACATGGTGCACTTGCACATATGCAAGCAAAGCACTCATACACATTAAATAAATAAAATTAATTTTAAAAGATGTGAATAGAGAAATAAGAGAAAACGAAAAGGCTCCTGAACTATACTAGTGACACACTGACATGTCCAAAACAAGGAAAACCAGTTTCGAGAATAAGGAACCTGGGCAGGGTGGTGCACGCCTGTAATTCTAGTACTGGAGGCTGGGGCAGTAGGAGTATATATTTGAGGCTGGCCTGAGCTATATAACAAGATTCTGAGGAGAAGGAGGAGAAGAGAATGAAATAGAACAATGAATGAATATAAGGGAGCTTTTCTAATTAACTAACTGCTTTTATAAGCAAATAGTTCGATCTTCCATTTAGTTATTTGCAGCCATTTGGTCATCACCCATATGTCAAACACTGTTAGACACTAATAGAGATAGAGATGTGCCACGGTTTTCACCCCTGAGTCTGTATGCAGCTGAGGCAATGGAATGCTATACCCAGACAGATGTCTTTGGACAAATAATTTATGAGATAGTTAATGATTACCTAATCTTAGTTCGACATTTGGCCAGCCAGGTGTGGTAGGTACCACACATCCATAATCCTAGTACTGAGAGGCAGAGGCAAGAGGATCAGGAGTTCAGTGCCAGCTTCAGCCTCAGCTACATGAAATTCTTGTCTCAAACCAAAAATTAAACAAAAGATTCTATGTAGGATACAAATAAAATGTATAATTCTATCATAAAACAAAAAAGGAAACACTCCAGAAAGGGAGCAACATTTGCCAAGGTACTGGGTGGTACTGGAGGGCTGTGTTAAGGGAATCCATGAATTTCTTGTGATTATGGGATGAAATGCCATAGGTAGGGGGATGGCATAATGGGCTGCAAAGATGGGTGGATCTTATCTCCTGAGGGCCTAGTGCACCATATGGTGTTGGAAGTGCCTCTGTTGTAATTACTGCAGTCCTTGCACCCATGTGTCTTCAACAGATCCCAGTGGCAAGGTGCGTCCCGAAATCATCAATGAGAGTGGAAACCCCAGCTACAAGTATTTCTACGTCAGTGCTGAGCAAGGTAGAGTTCTGAAGGCTGGAGGAGGGCTGCTAGCTTGAACTAGGAAGAACCACAGGCAAGGTCTGACAGGAACTTAATCCCATCAGCCTATTGGCTAACTGTGTCCCACAGACTAGCTTTTGGCTAGATCCCATATAGGATATAAGAAAAAGATGAAACAGCCTTTTCCTAGCTACATAAAGAGTCTAGAGAAAGAGCTAATAATCCACAGGAAGCTAAGCTCATGGAGAGTCACTGGCCTATGGTCTTATAGTTAGGGTGTCACAGAGTTGGGATGTGGATCCATCCAGAACTTAGTTTGTGTTTTTGATCTTTATTTCCTATTGTACCTATACTATTCTTCTGGAATACAAACTGTTATCTGCGTAAGACTGAGAGATATCATATATATTAAACTAACTGGACCCAAAAGTATGAAACTGTCTTGTGGACTGGCAAGATGGCCCAGTGGGTAAAGGCACCTGCTGCCAAGCCTGACAACCTGAGTTTGATCCCCAGCACCCACATTGTAGAAGGGCGGCTGGCTCCCACAAGTTGCCCTCTGACTGCTACACAAGTGCCATAGCGTTCACACACCCATGCACATAACATGCACACACAATTAATACACATATAATAAATTGTCTCTAGAAAGACAGCAGGAAGACATCTCAAACTACGAAAGCAAGTGGTGTCGGGGTGGGGGCCCAGGCCAACATGGAGCATCTGAAAGACCTGGCAGACATGTGAATAAGTGGCTTAAGTCCTGAAGAGAGCTGTGGTCAGCAGAAATAGAAAGCACATTGCAGGCAGAGGGAACCCTATTGGCACAGAAGGTGAAGGAAGGCCACGTGTCTGTCAGAATTCTTTATCCCTTGACTCTGGAGCGCAGTGTAGAAGCAGGAGTTGGAATGCATGCATTCCAACTGTATTATCACTGTTTTCCCTCCTTTCCTCCTGGTCTATGGAAGGTAGTTGTTTGCTAAGTTGCCTTGTATCTATTGCTAGGCTGCCAAGTCCTTGATCACTTTGTGCTTTGAGTACTTGGAACTCTTATTCCTGAAACAGGAAAGGAGAGGAGATGTTTTAACTCCCTCCCTTGGGTCAGAATGGCTTATTCCCTAATGTAATGCGGGTCCCTGGAGACTAGTGTCAGAAGCAGACTTTCCACGCAGAGAAGGGCAGTAGGACTTTAAGTCCTAAACTTGTCCTGGGTTCACCTTCTCTCTTCTCAGAATTCTATCCCGCTTACTGCTACCATCGTCACACTAACATAGTCCAAATGTGAACATAAGTCTTTTCCCAGAGTTCACATGGCTTAGCTGACATGAATCTGGAACTTTCAAATCTGGCCTTACCAAAAGTATAGGTAAGACAAAAGGGGAAAAAACTGACTATAGTATGTTTTGATGAGTTTATGGGATTACTCCGCAAGATTCACAGACAGACTGGCTCAAGGCCGCCTTTGATAGAACCACCACTCACAGGCCTGCACTGAAATAGCTGCCCTTCTGGAAGAGCAAATTTGTAAGAGGGATGCCCCAAGCTATGTAAGAAATTTCATGTCTTGTCTGCTGGGGACGTCTCTAGCTTTTTTCCTGAAATTTTGATTTCTTCCATTAATAGTGGATAGTTAAAGTGACTACTCCTTCAGTGGAGGTGGAGGTCATGTGCCATCTTAGTGTGCATGTGCACACACATCATCATCAGTGTGACCTGTAAACTACAGGAAATTAGGGTGACAGTCACCCAGAAGACAAAACAGAAGCAGCAGGAAGGTGTCCCTCTTCTACAGTCTGTGATAGAGGGTTAGCCACAGTCACAACAGACATTTTATAGGTCCCCATCATTTATGAATATTTATCTATTAGGAATTTTTAAGTAGTCCTATGTAATATAGACAAGGGAAAAAAGATCCAGGATATGCCAGGATGAGTTCCTGAGTCCAGGACTTGCTCTTCTCATATTTCTTCTAAAACATTTAAAAGTAGCTTCTTGTCCACTGTCAGGCTGGAAAGACGGTTTGTCTTTACTCCCTTTACCTTTATTCCACAGTTGTTCAGGGGATGAAGGAAGCTCAGGAGAGACTGACAGGTGATGCCTTCAGAGAGAAACGTCTTGAAGATGAGTTGTGACGTGAATGAATTCCTTCTTTCATCAAAGCTAGTATCCTGGATGGAAAGCAGAGGAGAGGGAACACGAAGAATCACCCAGAACAATTCAGCCACCTGGAAACCTTGCTTCCTGTCACACTGGTAGGAGCTCTCACTGTGGCAGAGGCCTGTTGCCACCAGCTGGTCTGTGGATCCACCCGAGTGGCAGGCTTTCTTCTGCTTCCTGTCACCTAAATATCCATTGCCTTTGAATGTAAAGAACAAAACTTTTTGACACAAAACTTGAGCCACGTGGAGATTTACTCCTCCTGATTCAGTATTTGTCTTTACCCCCACTTTCTGCTTTACTCATGCTGAAGTGAAAGGCCAGTAACCTCTTTTCTGTAGTGTTCAAATTGCAGGAACACCTTAGCAATTTTTTAAGCAGACAACAAATCCTAAATGTAAACTAGAAGATCTACCCCTTTTCAAGGACACCAGCCTGTTTTTTTTTTTCTCTTGGGAATAATCTTGGCCTTCTTCCTGAATCCCTGTACCCTCCTCCTTCCTCTGCTCAGGCTTCTGTGTTTGCACGCATGTGTGTGCAGGAATGACTTGTGTGATTGGACTCCAGCTGGAAGCATGCTTTCCCTTTTGCTGTTGGAGAAACTCAAGCCTTCAAGCCCTACATGGAGCCATTTTGTCAAGTCATCAACTGTATTTTTGTACGGGGGTTAACAAAAATAAAGATAAAATATTGTTTCATTAAACTTGAATAAAACTTTAAAGGGAAATAGAGTGTGGTGGTCTTTTGTTATTGGTAAAGGGAGGAAGGAAGGGTGATCAGGAAAAATACTGATGAAAGACCTACTCTAAGAGCCCTAACCTAGGACCCCTGCTCCTCCGTCTCCACCCACATCCAAATGAAGTCCAGGACTCATTTCTTTTTGGTTGTTGAGATGGGAATTTTGTTAGGCTACCTGGGTGTCCTCCAACTCTTGGGTAAATATGATTCTCCTTATCAGCCTTCTGAGGGGTTGGAACTACTGCCTCCTCTTGTACTTTTCTAAGTACCTTAATTCCTTTTGCCACACTAGTACTCAGCATGGATCTGGCTTTTTCTCTTCCCTAGACTATTGTGGCAGCCCCTTAACTTGCCTACTTGCCTGTAATGTTCTCTCTTGAACCCATCCTCCTTTGCCTCCCCAGAGTGATCTTTTTAAAACACTGGTGTGTCCATGTCAGTCCCCTGCTAAAAAACCTTACTGCTCACCTTCAAGATTATGTTCCTCTGGGACAGGAGAGATGGCTTGGTAGTCAAGAGGACCCAGGTTTGGTTCCCAGCACCCACATAGCAGCTAACAACTGTAACTCCAGTTCTGAGCTCTGAGGGCATTGCGTAAGTGGGTGCATTTACATACATGCAGGCAAAACAGACACATAAAAATGTTAAAGATTATGCTACTCCCTTTTGGAAATACTTGGGCTTCAGGATTGCTTGGCATTCCTCTTAATCGCTTAGAAATGTCCCTCTATGTAGTTTCTCTTCAGTCTCCTGGCTGCCAAGAAATGTTCTACTGTAACCTCCATTTTCTTCAGAAGACTTTTATTTATGTGTATATGTGTGCATCTACGTGTGTTCATACCGCATGCATGCAGAGGCCAGAAGAGTGCAGTATGTCAGGTATCCTGGAGCTGGAGCTACAGGCAGTTGTAAAGGCCGGGTGTGGGTGCTGGGAGTCAAACTCGGGTCCTCTGTAAGAGCAGCCAGTGCTCTTAACCACTGGGCCATCTCTCCAGCTTCAGAAGAAATTGAATTGTGAATAGACAAAGGCACAGAATGAAGTCAAGATCTTTAACAAGACTGCCTACTTCACTCTCATGCCTTTCCATTCATGGTTAGTATTTTGTGTTGTGGTGAAATCAAAATGCTTTGGGCTTCCCCGACATGTTTCCTCAGTGTGCAACATATTTTCTTGCTACTTTTCCTTCACAACCCATTTGAGTGACATCTTTTAGAGTTTTCTTGTGAGCTAAAAGGCTGCTCTCCCAGGGCACTTGTAGTGATCCCAGAAGACTTTGTATGAAGTGTACATACATGTCTATGGCTAACATAGAGCGGTCATTCTCCTTCAGAGTAGTCAGGTTCCCCAACAAAGTTCCTTCAACTGACTTGCCAAATTCAATAGTGGGTTTTGTTTTGTTTTGGGACAGGATCTCCCTATCTCCCTGACTGGAACTCTCTGAACTCTGTGTAGACTGAGCTGACCTTGAACTCACAGAGTTCTGCCTGCCTTTGTCTTCCCAGTGCTGGAATCAAAGACAAGCCACCACCACACCGGCTGATAGGTTCTTTTTATTCATTTGCTTTAAACACTACCAGCCATCCTGTGGGATAGGTATTCGCCTCATTTAGAGAAAAGGGAATTTCAGAGAAGAAAGTGATAAATCTATAGGTCCTAGGCTACATAAGTACTACAAGCTCTGACTGCAAACTCCAGCTCTTCCCACATCACTTCTACATTCTGAGGTGTGACTCATTGGAACAGGAATTTTCAACCTAGATCACAGTAAGACCTTAAAATATTTTTATTTTATGTGCACGAATTTTGCCAGCATGCATGTACACACTGTGTGCAGAGACCAGAAGGGGGTGTTGGATCCCAGAAACTGGAGTTCTGAACTATTGGTAGTCACCATGTGGGTGCTGGGAATTGAACCTGGATCCTCTGTAAGAGCAGCCAGTGCTCTTAACCACTGGGCCATCTCTCCAGCCCCACAATAAGACTTTATAGGAGATACCTGGGCACAGAAATTATAATGAACCAGGGACTGGAGAGATGGTTCAGTGGTTAAGAACACTGGTTGCTCTTACAGAGGATCCAGGTTCAATTCCCAGCACCCACACGGCAGCTCACAACCATCCATAACTCCAGTTCCAGGGGATCTGACGCCTTCTTCTGACCTCCACAGGTATCACACCACATGGGTACACTTACACACATACACATAAAATAGGCAATATACTCATACACATAAAAATAATAAAATATTTTTTTAAAAAAAATTTAGTGAATCAATTTCTATATCATCTTAAAAGTAACTTCCCAGACTTGTCAAAAAATTCATTGTAGAATTACCATATGACCTAGCAATTCTACTTCTGGGAATATAACCAAAATAAAAATAGAATCTTGAACAGATATTTGTACACTTATATTCAAAGCAGCTGTATTCACAGTAGCCTGAAGGTGGAAGGAACTTGTGCTCATTGATGAATAGATGGATTTGAAAAATAGGACAGCAGGTAAAGGTGCAGCTAAGCCTAATGACCTGAGTTCAAACCCTGGGACCCACATAGTGGAAGGAGAGAACTGACTCCAGTGGGTTGGTGTCTTGTGCACTATAGTATGTGAGTTCTATGTGCTATGGACATATTAGCTTTAATAAGGAAAGAATATCTGACATGTTCTATAGCATGGATGAACGTTGAAAACATGCTAATTGAAATGTATCAGATACTCAGACACAAAAAACAGCTATTGTTGACTCAAGTGTAAGCTACTTAGGTATGGTCAAATTTATAGAGATGAAAAATTGAATGGTGGTTGTTAGGGGCTGTTGGGAGGTGAATGGGGAGTTAGTGTTTACTTGGTGTGGAGCATCAGCTTAGGAAGATAAGTTCTGGAAGTGGGTGGTGGGGATGGCTGCAAAACACTATGAATGTACTTAATGCCATTGAACTACATAAAATGGTTAAAAAGGAATTGAGGAGATGTCTCAACAATTAAAGCATTTGCCATGCAATCAGCAAATGTGAGGACTTAGAGTACACATCCCTAGAACCCTTGTGAATGCCAGGTATAATTCTAGCATTTGGAAGGTAGAGACAGGATAGTTTAGGAACAAGCTGGCTAGCCAGACTAGCCATATCAGCAAGCCCTGGATTCAAATGAGAGGCCCTGCCTCAAGGAATAAGTGGAGTAAGACTCCTGATCTCAGACTCAAGCCTCACATGCATGTGCACTTGTGCATACACATATGTGCCCACATACATGCAAACATGCACACACATACATACACATGAAAAATAAAGGGTAGAATAAATAAAAGGGATTAAAAGGGTAGAATTTATTTTTTTTTCAACATCTGTGTAGTAGTTTTCTCTGTGAGAATGTATCATCCTGTTAGAACATTAAGATGTGATTTTGTATTTAGAAGAGCCTCTCCCTCAGAAGTCATCCTCAAGGGCCTGGAGAGATAACCTAGTGATTAAATGCACTTTCAGAGGACTGGGATTCAATTCCCAGCATCCACACGGCAGCTATCAACTGTCTGTAACTCCAGTTCCAGGGGATACAATGCCTTCTTCTGGCCTCCATGGGCATTGTACAACATGGGTGCACTTATATACATGCAGGCAAAACACTCATCCACATAAAAGTCAATCAATCAAAAAATGTCTAAAAGGAAGCATCCCTTTAAGAATTTACAGCTTTGCAAGAATTTATGTTTATTTTACCACAACTTTAAAAAGTGATTGTAGGGCTGGAGAGATGGCTCAGCAATTATGAGCACTGGCTGCTCTTGCAGAGAACACAGGCTTGTTTCCAAACACCCACGTGGCAACTAACAACCATTTGTAACTCTAGTTCTAGGGGTTCTGACACCCTTTTCTGGCTCCCGTGGGCATTGCATGCACATGGTGCACATACATATATGAAGGCAAAACACTTTAAATACATAACATTTTTTAATTTAAAGTGATATCCTAGGGAAAGTCAGCATAATTCATTCCCACCTTCCCTGTCACTTTTTTTCTACTTCACCAAAAAGCATGATGTACTTCTCACTCACCCTGAACTTGGTATGATGAATTGTCCTATTCTGTGAAGGTCCAAGGCACCGAACAGAAGGAGATTGAAGCATTATCAAGCTTCCAGATTAGAGGATCTGTTGTTGTTATATGTATAGTTCTGTTCTAAGAATGATTCTATTAAGAGCAAAACCTGACATTAGAAATGGGGCCATTTGATCACTTGTGAGTGTTTTGAATTCAGAGCCTATAAAGTAGAAATAAGAAAAATTTGCCTCTTTTAATTCCCCAGGGTGTGTGTGTGTGTGTGTGTGTGTGTGTGTGTGTGTGTATTAAAACCTTACACATATAAGCAAGTGCTCTACCACTGAATTGTATTCTAGCCCAGTGTGGTGGATTGAATGAAAATGTCCCCCATAGGCTCCAAGTATTTGTACATTTTGTCCCCAGATGATGGTGCTGTTTTGGGAGGTTTTAGAAGGTGTGGCTATCCTGGAGGAAGCACGTCACTGGGGGTGGGCCTAGAGAGTCCTTAAGCCTTGCCAGATCTCCAGTTGCTCTTGCTGCCTGTGCCTTCCTGATGATGTGAGAGCTTCACTTCTGCTGCTCCTGCTCCAGCCACCTCCAGCCACCATGCCTCCCTGAGTCTGCCCACAGCCAAAAAGCTTGCCTGAGGCTAAGTTGAACAGCCATGGACTAATTCCTCTGGAGGAAGAAATTTCAAGACAGCCTAATGTAGAAATGGTGGTGTGGCTATTAATGGTGAATATTATGCACGTCTACAGTGAAAAAGAGCAAATGGTGCAGAAAGAAATACAGTTTGGATTGAAAAAGAGCACTAGGAAGATAAATGGAGCCTTGGCATGTGCTGGAGAGGATCCCTTTGATAAGGAGATTAAAGTGATTAAGGAGGGGCCTAGAGATTCAGGCTTAAACAGTAGAGAGAGTGTCTCCAGGGCAAGACCACACCCA